GGCAGCATCTGGGTGAGGAGATATTAACAGCCTCACTGGGCCATGACCCAGGGACAGACTGAACGGCCGGATGCACACAGTGGGATACATAGGCAAAGAAATAGGAGAAAAGGGGCAGGTCTTCTCTATAGGAAAATTCTAACCAATGAAATAGAAGGAAGGGGGAGAGGACGTCCCCACAGGAAGAAGTGCTGCAGGGAAGATCCACCAACGGGTGCAGAGATCTGGGCAACGTTCACGAAGTGTGGTCTTTTCAGTCTCGGCGAATCTCCCCCAGTACATGCATAGATTACACAGGGCTCCTTCTCAGTGGAGACCCTGGCAGACACCCCCTTAGCCAAGTGATCAAGGTTACGGCATCAGTGGTGAAATACGCCCACCTTGGGCACCCTGGTGTGGTACTTAGGGTCCGTCACTCCTGGGGCATTCCCCCCAGATGCGTTACCTCCACAGAACCACAGGCCAGGCAGATCCTCCTGAGGAACCTATAAAATAACCGGCTAGTTCTTATCCAAGCATCAAGGCCAAGAGTGATGAGGAAGAACTAAAAAGCTGTCACTGACGGCAGGCACTACCGAGACAGGATGAGTGAATGCAATGTGGGATCCTGGAACAGAAAGGAGCATCTGCCAGGAGGAAACCTGGAGAAACCAGAAACCAGAAACCAGAACCCAGGTTGTGGCAAAGTTTTGAAAGTGTATCATGATTACGTAAGACAGGGACAGGCTGGACGCGGTGGCTCACGCCTGTAATCCCAGCACTTTGGGAGGCCGAGGCAGGCGGATCATGAGGTCAGGAGTTCGAGACCATCCTGGCCAACATGGCGAAACCCCATCTCTACTAAAAATACAAAAATTAGCAGGGCGTGCTGGCAAGCGCCTGCCTGTAATCCCAGCTACTTGGGAGGCTGAGGCAGGCGAACTGCTTGAACCCAGGAGGAGGAGGTTGCGGTGAGCCAAGATCGTGCCACCGCACTCCAGCCTGGTGACAGAGCAAGACTCCATCTCAAAAAAAAGAAAAGACAGGAACATCAGGGGAAGCAGGCTGAAGGGCACACAGGACTCTCTACACCATTTGTGCAATTTTAAGTCTAAAATTATTTCAAAATAAAAAGTTGGGGAAAACAGCTAATTGGAGAGAAGGGAGACACTGAGACAGCACAGTAACATCTCACATCTCATTTACTGGCAAAAATACACTCGGTCAGACATTGTCATGATTCCTCTCCCATAGGGCAGGGCGCACAGTGCACCTGCTGGGCTGTGGGCGAGGGGCCCTCTGCTTCCTATGGGTGTAGGGTTGGTGGTCTAGGGCTGGGAGTGGGAACTAGGGCACAAAAGCCCCTTGCTGGCTGCAAATTTAGGTAGTAGCTCTTCGGTGACAGCCTTCAAACTCACGCTGGATACTGCACGCTTGGACCAGACACGGTGGGAGAGGATCCCGGGAGGATGACAGCCGCCTCACTTCAGAGGAGCCCTGTGGGCTGGTGGCCTCGGCCCAATGCCCCCGCTCTGTAGCTTCCCCCAAGGGAGCCCGCGAAGGCATCGCTCTCCTCTCCTCCCTCGACTGAACAAGCTGAAGAGGGCATTGATGCCGGCGCTCCGGGCGGGGACAGGTTTCCGCTCACAGGTCTCCCCACCCCTCCGGGTAGTTGCAGGGTTGGGCGACAGCCCTGGGTGAGCATCTGGGGCTGAGGTCTCCGCCTGGTGCAACACAACGGCTTGGGGCCCATTGGCTCACGTATGTTTTCCTGCCGGGTCTAGTGTTCGAGGTTCGCTCCCTGATCCCGGGAGGCTGGCGGGCCTGGCCGAGGAGAGCGGTCTTCCGGGTGGAGCCGCACAGATGCCTTGTCCCCCTGGCCGAGGAGAGCGGTCTTCCCCACGGAGCCACACAGATGCCTTGTCCCCCTGGCCGAGGAGAGCGGTCTTCCCCGCGGAGCCGCACAGATGCCTTGTCCATGATGTGCCTGTAGCTTGTCAGCCCCCAGGTGGAGAAGCACCTGCCCACCTCTGTTCCCACTGTGCCCACGGGCTTGAGGCACAGTCTGCACATTGCTAGCCAGCTGCCCTTCCCTGATGACGGTGCGGCCTGTCTACTCTGACCACCCCACGGGCACACGCTGGGAGCAGAAGCTCCGAGTCACCTCCAGCTCCAGTACCCAGGAAATGGCTCTATCCAGGGACGTCGTCCACTCATGTCCACGTCCCAGATGTCACTGAGGGCAGCTGTGGGGGGACCCTGCTCCCCAGGCCCCCTTCTCCTAGCCCGGAGTCCTCTCTGTGACCTGTTGTGGGGAACTGCTTGGGGCTCAGCATGGCCTGGATGGTCCACCTGCCCCCGCTGTGAGGCCTGGTCCACAGGGGGTGGGAGTGAGGCAGCCGGGAAGCCTCCACGGGGTCGTGCGTATGTCCACACCGTGTGTGTCGCTGCGCTGTGGGGTGTTCACTGCCCCCCACCACCCTCTGGGGACCCTGGAGGCAGTGGAGCTCCCAACCTCTAGCTGCGCTGTCCTTGCCGCACAATTAGAGATGCCCTGCTTGGAGCTCCAGCTTTTGCTGTGGGAGCAGAAGTCCCTGGGGATGTGGGAGCCGTGTCCTGAGGGCTGGTGGGCCTGTAGTGCCCTCCTGTGCCAAGCAGCGGGTGTCCTTGGACAGGGCTGGGGCTGTTGACCTCCCACTCCTTCTAGAATGAACCCCTGCAGAGAACTTTCTGGCCTGAGGCTATGCCTGGGCACACTTGGGGGAGGCAGGAACCAGATCCTGCCTGGTACCCAGGTCCTGACCCACACAAGGACGATGCCTTATCCACAATGTGCCTGGAGAACGTGCCCCAGGGGACCTGCAAGATGGAGCCGCTGCCCCCCTCGTACCTCCTCCTCGCCACTGCCCCTCCTGAGTCGAGGGTGAAGACGGAGCTGCTGCCCACTCCTGAGCTGAGGGTGGTGGTCGCACCTCCTCCTCCCCCTCCCATTTTCTATGCAGGGGAGCATCTCCCAGGAACAACAGTGCCTGTGGCCCATGGCCGCTGCCCACTGCAGGAGACACAGCTGGCTCTCGGACAGGGTTTGTGTGGGTGGAGGATTACCCAGGTGCCAAGGCAAGAGACTGAAGGCACAAACTGTTTCAGTATAATAAAGAAAATAGTTAGAATAAGAATAGTCATAACACATATTAGATATAGAGATGATCATGGACAATTATCAATCATTATTATAAACATTATTAATCATCGGCTTTTAATATTACTCTTTGTTGCATTACTAATATAACCTGGGAATAACCGGCGAGCATAGGGTCAGGTGCTGAAGGGACATTGTGAGAAGTGACAAAGAAGACAAGAGGTGAGCCATCTGTCACGCCCGCATAAGGGCCGCTTGAGGGCTCCTTGGTCAAGTGGTAACGCCAGTGTCTGGGAAGGCACCCGTTACTTAGCAGACCGTGAAAGGGAGTCTCCTTTCCTTGGAGGAGTTGGGGAACACTCTGCTCCACCAGCTTCTTGTGGAAGGCTGGATATTATCCAGGCCTGCCCACAGTCATCCAGAGGCCTAAACCCCTCCCTGTGGTGCTATGCTTCGACGGTCATGCTCCTTGTGCACTTTCATGTTCCTCCCATACTCCTGGTTCCTCTTGAAGTTCGTAGTAGACAGCAGTAGAAGAAATAGTGAAAGTCTTAAAGTCTTTGATCTTTCTTATAAGTGCAGAGAAGAAAACGCTGACGTATGCTGCCCTCCCTCTCTACTTCGGCTACCTAAGAGGGAAGGGCCCCCCGTGTCCTATGATCACGTGACTTGCTTCACCTTGTCAATCACTTAGAAGATCCACCCTCCTTACCCTGCCTCCTTGTTCTTGTATGCAGTAAATATCAGCGTGCCCAGCCGCTCAGGGCCACTACCGGTCTCCACGTCTTAGTGGTAGTGGTCCCCCGGGTCCAGCTGTTTTCTCTTTATCTCTTTGTCTTGTGTCTTTATTTCTTACAATCTCTCATCTCCACACGCGGGGAGAACACCCACTAAGCCCCATAGGGCTGGACCCTATAGGTGTGGGTCAGAGGTGAGGGAGGTGGAGCGTTCTCTGGGCAGCCCCCCATGGGGCTGCCACTGCCTCCCCAAGAACCAGCTCACCCTGCCCCAGAGCCCCACAGACACAACCGATCTTCAAACTCTACTGTAGGGAACCCCGCTGGCAAGGAAAGCTCCATGGTGGAGCATATGCCCCGCCCAGTCCTGACCTCCTTCCCTGCTGGGAGCAACCAGAGTCGCCTCCCCAGAGTGGACACCTCAGGTGCTGGGTCCGAGTGAGGGATGGCGCTCACGGTCAAGTGCACGGGAGCAGCAGAAGGGGGTGCACTCGGAGAGCAGCCTCAACGCACCTACAGGGTTTCTCCCTTTTCTGCAAGCCTCTTCCCGCAAGCGGGAGGACGGCCAGCCGTGCCAGATGCCAGGTCCCTGTGGGGCACCGTGTCTGCAGACCCTGCCCCCAGCAACAGCTCAGGCCACAGTCCACACGAGCCCCCAGGCCCTGTCCCATGCGTGACGGGAGAGGTGATCTTGACGGTCAGCAGTGGAGGGGGTGGCAGAACCACACATGTGCAGACTGGGACACAGAGGTGTGCAGGAGAAGCTGGGGCTCACCTCACAGGGAGGGTGCGCCAGCAAATTTAATTCTCATCTCAAATGGGGCTGAGTTCTCTAAGCAGAATTAGCAGGCCAGGAAGGGGGTGTGTCAGCTTGTGCAGGGTCACCACACAGGGTGGGAGGGAAAAGGCCGTCCCTGTGGACAGATGGCAGCCCTTACCTGTCAGCTTCTTGGACCACGGTTCCCTTCTTGCGCCAGTAGAGCCACAGGTGCGTCCGCCGTCCCTCACCTGGGCTGCTCCTTGTGTGCGAAGACTTGGGGTGAGGCTTCAGTTCCTGCTGGGGTCCATGGCCTGCAGGTCTGGCCTGCGCAGGGGCTTCCAGGCCAGGTGGCTCGGGTGGCTCTGGGCGCTCAGGGCCTCTGTGACTTCTGGAGACGCACTACGGAGGCAGCCTCTGGCATCCATGTTCCAGCTGGCTCTGCCCCCTCGTCCCATCTCCTGTCACCACGCTCCCCACGCCTTCCTTGGATCAATCCCGTGGTGCTCCCAGCTGGCGGCCTTCCTGTCTCAGGCTGGGTAGGAAGGCAGAGGGTTGAGGGCACCCCGTGGCCCACGGCGGCCACGGCTCTTGTCTGTCCCCACAGAGATGACGATGAAGGAGGGTGGGTGTGGGGTCTGTTGGCCAGTGGGTGTTCAGGACTCCAGCAACACATTGCAGCATTGGAGGGGCCACTGAGGTGTCGGGGAGCCCTCCCAGGACCATCCAGGGAGCCTCCTTGAATGAAGGTTACCATCCAGGCGGCTCAGTCACAGCCTTCATCTTGTCACTGGGTCACGCCTCTGTTGTTTCTGAAAATCTTCCTCCAGACACCGGTGGCAACTACTGTGAGGACCAAGAGAGAGGAGAGGACCCAAGGCTGGTGCTTCGCACAGAAGCAGTTCTCACCCCTGCTTGGCAGGGAATGCTGCACATCCCTGGAACTGGGATGGGGACTGCCGTCCGGGAGGAGGGACCAGGGTCCAGCAGCCAAGGCCTGGACTCTCCCAGAGAAGCCCCCGAGAGTCAGCAGAGCCAGTTCTAGTTCTGGCGCATCGACGCGGACGGCAGCTTGCGCTGCACATGCTGCCCCTTCTCACTCTTCCTCCACGGGACGGGCGTGCAGAAACCAAGTCCCCCTGGGTCTTCAGGATGGAGACTCGACATCCCGTTTTGTCCCTGCTCTCAGGTCCCACTGGAGGAAAAGGGTCCAATTCAACGTGGGGCTGGAAGAAAAGAAACGTAGAGTGCAGAGTCAGCGACGCTCCGCTCGGCCGGGGTGAGGGGTGAGGGACGAGGGACGAGGGACGAGGGGCTCTGTGGAGAGGAAGATCCTTGCCCCCAGGGGAAGCTCCTCTTGGGACCTGATGAAGGGTGGGGACTCGAGGACCGAGGTGAACGATGATGTGACGTCCTACTTGCTCCTCTTCCAGTTTGGAAGGAGGCAGACATTTATGCTGGCGGGTGCCACGGTAGCAGCAGCAGCAGCTGTGACCTGTAGATTCCAGCTACCCTGGCCTAGGCCACCCCAGCCTGGCAGGCAGACCCAGCCCTCCTGGCTGAATCTCCAGCACCACCCAAGCCTGTATTCAGCAGCACCCAAAAAAGAATGAGGATGAATCACAGAACCACCGTGTCTGCCCGCAGGGCCTGCTGCCCAGTGCCACCGAAGCAGAAAGACCACCTAGAGAGGGTCCTGCACATTTCTGCTACACTGGGTTGGGTGGGGGTGGACCCTGCTCTCCTTCCCTCTCTCAGGAAGGTGAGCACCTTGCAACCTCTACAGTGGAAGACTCCAGTCCTGACCCCAGGGAGGGACTTCTGGTGTTGAAGGGCGGGTGGCTTTCTAATGACCCTTTTGGGGATGCTGGGTCGCCGCCTTCTGGTTCATCAAAGGCAGAGGCAGCTCCCCGGCAGGAGTCAGGGGGCCGAGTGTCTTCCGGGGAAGCAGAGGCGGGACCCCTGCGGGCCTACCAATGAAATACTCCACCACGTTAGGGTGCCAAGATGGACTATGACCAGAGAATGAAAGCTAAGGAGAAAAATAAGAACAAAAATAAAAACTGAAACGGAAGGGGAGGATACTGGAGACACGGAAGGAAAGAAGAGAAAAAAGGGAGTTGAAGTAAATTAGCCCCAAAGCTTCAAATACAGGCGATTACAGACTGAAGACAGAGCTGTTGGCAGGGAGGAGAGGGCTCCATTTGGGACGGCGAGGAGGATGCTGCCCAAATCCCGGGCTGGGGGTGCCGCCACCCCACAAAGGAACACACTAAAAGAGGACCCTGCACCATGCAGACTCGGGCGGTGGAGTGCTGGTCAGGCCCCACGCAGCGTGTCCCCAGCAGCACAAGGCCAGCCTCCCGGGGACTCCTCCTCCTGAAGTAGAGCCATCAGCAGGGCCTGCTACAGGGATGTTCGGCGAGAGCACCAATGGGGTAATGTGTGGTGAAAGTTGTATTGGAAAACATTCCAATTGCCCAGCAAACAAAAGCAGGCCTGTGACAATACTGTGGTCTCAGTCCACCACGGGCAGCAAAGTACAGCCAGCACCTGAGTAGACAAACGCACACAGCCTCACTCTGGGCTGGGGTGGGAGCCAGACCCATCCTGGACACGAGAAAATCCAGGGGGGCATAGCTTGGAAATGAAGAGCTGTTTACCTAGGTTGAAATAACACCTGACCTATTCTTTCCTTTGGAACAGGATCAGTGTGATCACCCAGTCTGGAGTGCAGTGATGTGATCGTGGCTCACTGCAACCACCTCAACCTCCCAGGCTCAGGTGATCCTCCCACCTCAGCCCCCTGAGTAACTGAGATTATAGGCACATGCCACCATGCCCAGCTATTTTTAAGAATTTTTTTCTAGAGACAGGTCAACACTTTGTTGCCCAGGCTGGTCTCGAAATCCTGGGCTCAAGCGATCCTCCCATCTAGGCCTCTAAATTACTAGAATTACAGGCATGAGCCACCACGCCCAGCCTCACATTTTCTAGTATTTAATACAAACAAAACGTCCTTTAGGTTAGATCTGGAAAATGAAACAGACATTTGGTTTGGGGGAGACATCTGGTTTGAGAGACATCTGGTTTGAGGAGACAGTTGGTTGGGGAGACATCTGGTTTGGGGGAGACATCTGGTTTAGAGACATCTAGTTTGAGACATCTGGTTTGGAGACATCTGGTTTGAAACACTTATCTGGTTTGGGGAGAGACATCTGGTTTGGGGGAGACATCTGGTTTGGGAGACATCTGGTTTGAAACATCTGGTTTGGGGGAGACATCTGGTTGGTTTGGGGGGGAGACATCTGGTTTGGGGGCAGACATCTGGTTTGGGGGGAGACATCTGGTTTGGGGGGGAGACATCTGGTTTGGGGGGGAGACATCTGGTTTGGGGGGAGACATCTGGTTTGGGGGGGAGACATCTGGTTTGGGGGGGAGACATCTGGTTTGGGGGGAGACATCTGGTTTGTGGGGGAGACATCTGGTTTGGGGGGAGACAGTTGGTTTGGGGGAGAGACATCTGGTTTGGGGGGGAGACATCTGGTTTGGGGGGAGACATCTGGTTTGGGGGGAGACATCTGGTTTGTGGGGGAGACATCTGGTTTGGGGGAGAGCCCTCTGAGGCTCAAGCCCCAAGAACACTGTGTCCCCTCCGGCGTTGCTGGACGCCCTGGTGTGCTAGTGGATGCTTCCCCACGTGGCCTGGTGTCCACTGGGGCCTCAAAGGCTGTGCCCTGAGTAACTCGTTCTTCAGGATGATGATTCTCACAGGCGGCAGCGAGCGCCCAGCAGAAGGGCTTGTGTGTCACTGCCTATGAGGGGCAGGGCAGGCCTAGGGTGGGATGTGGGATGACACATGGCCCCTCGAAGGTGACTGCTGTCCAGAGGGACCTGCTCTCTCCTGGCAAGTGCAGAGCATCTGTGGGCTCTTCCTCAGGCTGGGACCAGCACATGCCAACCAGAGGGGCATCCTAATGCCAGCCTCCTGTGCTCTCCGGAAGGACGAGGTTGAAGGTGGGGCCACTGGCCACTTCATTCAGCCCCCAGTGGGAGTAGGTCACTTCAGTGAGCTCCACTGCACAGACTTAGCACAAAGTCTCACTCTGGGCTGGGGGTTGGGAGCCAGGCCCCAGGACCAATCACAACGGAGTGAACACTCTCACCCCCAGACATCACTGAACCAGCCCCACATGGGAGAACAAGCCCTGCCCTGAACACCTGCAGGCATCCACGGGAGGGCCGGGACTCTGCTATGCTCCCCTCACCCTGACTTGGGGAGCACTAAGCCTGTTATGTGCATGGACAGAGCACCCCTGACCCCACACCTCATGGAGCCAGGACCCTGAGAAAGAGCCAGACAGCCCTCCCCAGCCCTGGCGTGTGGCCTCAACCTAACTGCACTTCAATGGGTGCTTCTGATCTGGGAATTTGATCCTTAGACCAGCGTAAGGTGAACCTGCAGGGATCAAAGGCTTCCACACAGTCTAGGCTTCCGTGATGAGAGGAACCCGAGGCCGTTGGCTCCAGATGGGGAAACTGAGGCCACAAGAGGAGTGGCTCCTCTGAGGTTGCATGGCTGGGCACTGGCAGGGGCATTCCTAGACCACAGGGCTCCTGTCTCCCAGTCCAGAGCCCTTGCAGCCACCACCCTGAAGCCTTTTTCTGCTCAACTCCACCCAGTCTTCAGGTGGCCGCCTCCTGCTGCTGCTGCTGGGAGCTAAGTCTGCTGCCCCAGCGGCCTGGAGCTGAGTGGCTCAGTGGGAGTGGCCCTCTCCCTTGATCTTAACAAGCAAAAACCCCAAAACTGCATTTGTTTTACCTTTTCCTCCAGTTCCTTTATTTGTCTCTTCTGAGCTTCTATTCTTTCTTCTAACTCTTTAATTCTCTGCAAGGTTAAAAGGAAAAAAGTCTTCAACAGTCACAGTATTTGGGAAACCCAAATCCTTCAAGATTTTCATGCATTTCCTTGGTAACAAATGGTGGCAGAGCAACTGGCATGGCCATGGGCTGTGGCTCCTGACGAGGACACCAGCCTTTGCTGCGTTGTTCCAGCAGGAAAGCAGAGGGCCTTCCCCATGCCATGCTCCCTGTGGTGGGAACAGTATGCGTCCGATTCCTGCAACTTCAACTCAGAAAGCACAACGCCAGACATCCAGGGAAATGGTAGGAATGCATTCCCGGTCCCCCCAGATGCCACTGCAGCAGAGTAAGGGGCCGCCAGAGGGTCACAGGAGAGCTGGGCACAGAATCTCCTGGTGAGGGGGATGCCAGTGCCTGGGGTCCCCCAAGCATCTGAGCTTCAACCACAGCCCCTCTGAGGCAACAAAGGGGCTGCAGGTGACTGTCCTCACCCTGAGCCCCCAGAGGCCAAAGGGGCCCAGGAGGCTAACAAGGAGCCAGCAGAGCACGTCCAACATTAGCCCACCGATGCCCACGGCCAGCTGGCACACAGGGCACTTGTTTATGTGAATTTCAATTAAGCCTTTGCTAGGGGTGTTCTTCACAAGGAATACATCCATAAAGCCGCCTCCTAGCCAACCTGGCTCATGGAGGAGCTGGACTGTGTCCTACACATCTGGGTCGTCCAGTCTGCGAGGCTCCTCACCTCCCATTAGAGCAGAACTGACTCAACAGGCCTGAGGTCCCACAGTGCCCTGAGGCCAAGGCACGCCAGGGCTGCTGTCCCCAGAGAACACCCTTGCCATCAGGAAATGGTGTCATGGAAAAGACACGGTAGCCAGGGTCCAAAAGAGGAGAACTGCCACCCAGAGGCCTCTGCAACATGCCCAGGACACTAGGCTGGTGAGGGAGGCAGTCTGGCCCGACTGCCTGCCATTGACAGGCATGGCCATCAGGGGCATGGCCATCAGGGGTGTGACCACAAGAGGGCGTGGCCAATAGGGGGCGTGGCCATTCTAGGGCATGATCAGCAGAAAGTGTGGCCATCCAAGGCTCTGTGTGTGGAAGGCATGACAATTGGGGGGCATGGCCACTGGGGGCACGGCTACCAGGTGTAGCCATCAGAATATGTGTTACGAGGGGTGTGGCCACCAGAGGGTGGGGCCACAGAGGGGTAGTTGTTGGAGATGTGGCCACAGGATGCCCCGCCTGGCTCTGTGCAGGCCCAGGGCCAGGTCTTTACCCCAGTCCCACTCCCGCCTGCCATGCACCTGCTGAGCCAGCTGCAGCAGCTCCATGCGCTCCCGCAGGATCTGGGCATCCCGCTCGCGCAGCTCACTCATAACCTGGCGTTTCCACTGCTCCACGGCCACCTTGAGCTTCTCGCGCTCTTCCTCCGACAGCAGCTCAGCCACCTTGGCCCCGGCCTCCTGCTGCAGGGCGTCATACAGCATGGCTTCCAGCTCCAGGATGTGCTGGGGCAGAAGGGGAGATGCCTTAGTCCTTGCCTTCTCCCCAGAACAAACCTTTCAGGAAGGGTAACGGAGGCCGGGCCACCCTCCACCTGGGAGCGGGGCCAGGAGGATGTGCAACAGACAGGAACCCAGTGCTGTGGCCTCTGCAGAAGGACTGGGGCCCCACGGACCTCCCCAGTCTGTGAGAAGACCCTAGAAGCAGAGACGCTGACCAGGCCAGCAGAAGCCAGGACCCTGAGCCCCAGGGTGGGGGAGGACTGAGCTATGAAGTGGGGAAGCTGAGTGGGAGGTGGAGGGGCTGCAGGTGGCCTGTGGGGACACAGCAAGGTGAGAGGGAGCTGAGCGTGGGGTCACCTGCTGCCTCCCCAAATCCAAATCATAGACCCATGTAACCCGATCCCGGTGCTATAACCAGCAGCCAAAATACATAATAACCCAGCAGCCAAAGTACACACCTTTTCATAAATTCCTGGGGTTTGGCAGTTTGCTCTGCATATTTCAAAGCTTTTCTTAGGCAAATTTTATTGACACGCTCTTTGTAAAAAACAAATTCTCACACTACAGAGGCTCTTTCTTCCCAACCAAATGTAACATCTTCAGAGACAGCAGAAATATTAGGAAATGGAAAAAAAATACTTTTGGGCCTCAGTTACACTTTATTGTTCTTGACGGCCACAAAATAAACTGTCCCCAGCTGTCACAACCAGCTTGCACATCAACCTCCACTTCTTAGAGGAAAAGAGCTCAGTGCCTTTAAGATGAGCTCCAGCTTCTAAAAATAAACCTGGTCGACTGCTGACTTGGAACTAACCTCACAGTGGCTTCACGTGCACCCGGTGGTGGGAGGTGCTCACCAGGACCTCCGTGGTGACATGAACTGTGGGCTGCCTGGATGAACCTCCCTGCCTTCGGCAGCCACACAGACCACGGTCTACCACACCCATGTCCAGAGAGGCAAAGTTGGCACCAGCCCCTGCCGTAAAGAGCCGTCATTGCCCCAGGAGGAACCAGCTCTTCCCATCCTTGCCCCAGTGTCTCCCAGAAGCAGAGCAGGAAGTGCAAAAAAAACCTCAGTGCTCACAGGCCTGTGGGTCACCTGAGGGCACCTGAGTGACCGAGAGCCACACCATGAACAACATAGGAGAGAACCAGGCAAGCGTGCAGGGAAAGGGAAGGAAGTCAACAGCGAACTCAGGAAGCTCGGAGCATCCCAAATGAGGGGGCCTTCCTGTTGGAAGTGGAGAAAGAGGCCCCCCAAATATCACACAGGAAGCGGACCCACTAGCAACACCCAAGAAGAGACACCCCCCCAGCATCACACAGGGAGAGACCCCCC